CATCAGGCTCCCTGCTCTGCGGGTAGCCTGCTTCTCCCTCTGCCTGCAGCTCCCCCTGCTTGTGCTCCCTCCCTCTCTCTGTCAAATAAATAAAATCTTAAAAAAAAAAATAAAATGAACCTCAAAGGAATCAAACTGTTTCCAAGTAACTTAACTGCATCCCAGAATAAAGCTCAAAAATCCTTAAAGGAATACAAAAATCTAGCACACACAACATAAAATTCACAATGTCTGGCATCCAATCAAATAATAACATTGTGTAAGGCAGAATTACAAAATGGCTTCCCGAGACTTCCTGACCTAATCCTAATAACTGTGAAGATGGTCTGATAATGTGCCCATGATTATGTTAGGTTTGATGACAAAAACCATTTGGGAGATGTAATTAAGAATACTAATCAGTTGACTTTGAATTAATCAAAAGAGAGATTATCCTGGTGGGTCCAATCTAATCACTGAGACTGTAAAAGCAGAGCGTTTTCTCTAGCTGGTAGTAGAGGAGGAACTGAGAGAGATTCCAAATGTGAGAAGGATTCAGCACACCATTACTGACTTGAAAATGGAGCGAACCAAGTGTCCAGGGATAAAAGTGGCCCCGAGAGACTGAGAGTGGCCCAAGGCTTTCAGCCAACAAGAAAACAGGGACCTCAGTCCTACAAGTGCAAGGAAATCACTTGAATGAGTTGGGAAGCAGATTCTCTTCCAGAGGTTCCAGATAAGAGCCCAGACCAGCTGACTGTGTGGTTTTTAGTCTTGTGAGACCCTAAGTGGAGAATCCAGTCAAGCCCACCCAGCCTTCTGACCTATAGAACTGTGAGATTATACATAAGTGTTGCTGTTTTTAAAGTGCTAAATGTGTAATAATTTGTCATTTAAAAAAACTAATGCAGGGGCTCCTGGGTGCTTCAGATGGTTAAGTGTCTGCCTTCAGCTCAGGTCATGATCCTGGGGTACTGGGATCAAGCCCTGCATCAGGCTCTCTGCTCCACAGGAAGCCTGCTTCTCCCTCTCCCTCTGCTTCTCCCCCTGCTCATGCTCCCTCTCTCTGTATCTCTGTGTCCCAAATGAATAAATAAAATCTTTAAAAAAAAAATACTAGTTGTACATAAGCTAAAGGAACAGAGAATTCAAGGACCCCACAAGAAGGAATACAGTCTCTGCAAAAATAGTTCGCAAAAGTGGCTCAATGAATGGATGACTGCAGTCTTCAACAATCAAGAACAGCAAACCCTGAGAAAGGACAAGAATCTGATTTCCAGAGTTGCCACACTATAATATCCAAACATCCAATTTCAACCAAAAAGCACCAGGCATACAAAGAAATAGGAAAGTAGGGCCCACTCAAATGAAAAAATAATTTGACAGAGATTCTGCCTGATATCCAAGCACTGGACTTAATAGACAAAGACTTTGAAACAACTCTCTTAAATATGCTCAAAGAGCTTAAGGAAAACCATGAACAAAGAACTAAAGGAAACCAGAAAAATTTTGTATGAACAAAGTAAGAATATCATTAAGGAAACAAAAATTTAAAAATAATTTTAAAAAATTATAAAAAGGAACAATGAGAATTCTGGAGCCAAAAGTACATGATGATACATAGAAAATCACAAGAAATCTATGAAACAAATAACAAAAACAGCAAAAACAAACAAAAAACTCCAACCTCCTAGAACTAATAAATGAGTTCAGCAAGGTTGCAGTATACCAGATCAACATAGAAAACTCAATTGTAGGGGCGCCTGGGTGGCTCAGTCGATTAAACGTCCAACTCTTGGTTTTGGCTCAGGTCATGACTTCAGGGTCATGAGATCGAGCCCTGCATCAGGCTCCACACTAGGTGTGGCGCCTGCATAAGATTATCTTTCCCTCTCCCTCTGCCCCTCCCCACCGCACGCTCAAGTGCTCTTTCTCTCACTCTCTCAATAAATAAAGAAGAGAAAAAGAAAAAACTTAATTGCATTTCTAAATATCAGAAATGGACATGTTAGGGGCGCCTGGGTGGCTCAGTCGGTTAAGC